TTTTTTGAGAGGATATATTTGTATCAAAGCACGCCCTAACATAAGTAGTAAACTTTTATTTTTATTTTATTAAATTTTCTTCGATAGTGAATGGCATGTGTTTCGGTTTTCTCACCGTTGGCTCGGACGGCGATTTACTTTGCAGATCGAGTCTTAATCCTGACGGGTCCCACTGTATCAACAAGTCGTGTCCAGTCGAGAAGCTCCACGAAGCTTGATACTCACCGGTCGGTTCTTGAGGTGTGGCGGTCCCGACTACTTTCTCTGCTCTAGATGGCACATTCCACAAATATAGTAAAATAATTTAGACAAGAGAAAACTATAAATGGAGATAAAAATGACAGTAAGACTAAGATAGCAATGTTGATGGAACTAATTTGCTAACTTTTTCGTGTTTTTCTATTTATGGAGAAAAAATAAAAACTAATTTCGAAAGTTCGACTAATTTTCTTTGCGTCATGCATCGACATATATAAGGCTAAATGGGGATGCGCTTGCTTAAGAGAAAACAGCAGTTCGTGCTATATGGCCATGCTCAAGCTTGCACAATCATGCTTTTCATATCATTAGCTTTATAGTATATTATCATCAATATAGATTGGAATGTGTTCTGTTAATGTGAAAATGTGTCGCAAATTGCCTATTTGAGTAATAATATACGAGTATCCAAGCACATACGCACCAGGCAATCTACCAATCGAGCTGGAACCAGCAACGTAAGACCACGAACCCTCGCATACCTCGATAATCCGTTCCTCTCGTCTCACGGTCCTAGGTGCCTCCCCGCCTCTTCTCCATATACCTTCTCCAATTCTATCACACCAAAACAAATAAATAAATAAACAAATCAGCTACTAACCGACCATTTTGACAGCTCTTCTAATAGGGGATGATTACTGTTGTGTTTGGTAAACATATAACCACTGATAACTTCTTTGATTAGCTTATAAGTTTCCTTCAAATAAGTTCGGTTTGGTAGGGTTAGCTTTTTTTAAAAAGCTCGAGTTTGCTTCCTTCGGTAGCTTTTCAAGTAAGTCCACTGAAACTTTTATTTATGATGAGTTAATTTTACTAAACACTTTTATCATATAAGCTAATTTTTCAGAAGCAGCTATATAAGCTCGAAATTCACTTAAAAGCTATAAGCTAGCTATTAGTTATCAGCTAGTTTATCAGCTAAAACAAGGCATAAATATATACAGAAATTTCTGTAAATCAGAAATTCTATGACACCACATGTGGCACCATATTATGGTGCCACATCATAACATGATGTGGCACATTATGATTGGTGCCACAACATGATGTGTGATAGTTGTGGCACCAATCATAATGTGCCACATCATGTTGTGGCACCATATTTATGCTATCTTATAGCTTATTTGATTAAATTATAAGCTTTTTGTAGTCAAATAAGTTTGATTTGATAGGACGAGCTTGGGTAGCTTTTCAAATAAGTCCATTAAAATTTTAATTTCAAATATGAGCTAATTTTACCAAACTTTTTATCATGTAAGCTAGCTTTTCAGCCATAAGTCATGTCATAAGCTATTCACTTAAGCACTATAAGCTAACTTATCAAGAATATTTTCACCTCATCCGCACAACGAAACAATCTCGGCCCGCATGATCAAGCACTGTCCGGGAAAGCCACCGGCCCTCCTGCGGACGGTACCGATTCATCTTGAGGATCACATCCGACACCATTGCCCCCGAGTCATCGGTCACCCGATCGGGCACACACCTCAGCAAATACGGGCCTTGCACCGGTGGTGTTATCGAGGCAAAAGCCCATATCCACGGGCCCATCTCTTGGCCCAACGCAAGCGAGGGAGCCCGTAGCAAGTCGTTCCAATAGAAAGTCGAGCTCTCGGAAATGAAACTGCCGCCGCCCGAGCAGTGGGCCCCACCGCGGTGCCGCAGCTCGACTGCGAGCCCTTTTGTCCCGAACTCGCAGTAGAGGTGCCACGTCTTCTGCCAGGTGGCGGACGACGTAAAGTGGGACAATGGTGACGTGTCGAGTTTCAGCTCGCGGTGGGATTTTATCATCCGCAGGCGCAAAAAAGATCTGCCGAGATTCTGTTTTTTGGTTTGGTTGGTGTTTGGGGTTAGTTTCATAGATACAATGACCTGAAAATGAAAATGATGTTTTTAACTTTTTCAGGTACATTTTTGGAGAAAAAATAAGGAAATTTAAGAACAGTATAATGAAAAAATAGTCAAACCGAACCTCGAACAAGAACCTCGGCATGAGAGACTTGTATCTTGTGTTGATGTCAGCATACGTGACGTCCCAGTAAAAAGGCGGTTCGTTGGTAATAATTGGCCTCCCGATGGCTTTACCACCTGCTTTCTCGTACGGTTGATCATAAATTTTCTCCCAAAGCTTTTTAGTCTGCTCGATTTCTTCTTCTTTCACTGTTTCGCATGGACCGACTATGTTATCGAAATCTCCCTCGAACTCGTTAACATCTGCCGCATATACTGTCGGGTAGCTCTAATAAGATGAATTTCGTCCAAAAATTAATTATACCTTTCATCAAATATACAAATACAAACATCACATTTGTTCATCTAATTTTTGCATATATTCACTACACCTATTTTCACCATTAACCCTTTCTAGCAGTGAATCTTGTATGGAATAAATGCATTTATTTTGTTATTTAAACATTTTTTTTTTTAAATACTATTTGAGGATTTGCTATGCTGCTACTAAACCATTAGTACACAAATACAACTGTGATCTCAGATTCTCAATATAATGGGACAAAAGATCATCCATTAGGCCTCTTTCTTTGTCACCCATAAGACACAAGCACACACACACACACACACACACACACACACACACACACACACAGAGAGAGAGAGAGAAAGAGAGAGAGAGAGAACCACATAATTTCTGGTTTGTCTTGTAGTCAGCCATGTTTTATTTAAATTTCCCTCTATTATAAGCAAAAATTGGGATGTCATCACAAGTTTTAGCAACACACCATATTTAAATTTTCCTCTCTAATTAGTAATATCTCCAGAAGTTTTAGCAACATAAGAAACGGGGGAAAAACGGATGCGGTCCTCAGATGAAGCGCACCATAAGCAGGGAAAGACTAGATGAAAGCCAAATGACGTTTCATCCCAAAACTAATTGGTGGAAGGAGGAGTAGCTCATTAGACTTATAAATTAAGCATATTTTCTCTATATAAACGATGTGGGACTACTCACAAGTGAATATTCTAATAACGCCAAAAGCGAAAAAAAAAATATGTTTTAGTTTATTTTTGCAATTAAGAGAAAAGTAAAACAATCAGGTAGGCAACTGGGACAAAAAGTTAGATAAATCATAAATGAATGTGCATTCACATGCAGAACATTAATCAAAATGCTGTATGTGCCTCTCTAATATTCAAATACACCCAACTATTACACCTTTGTCAGTATTCTAATCACAACTAGCTAAATAAAGAAATATTCTTAACCCAAATTAGGTAGATAGGCCAAGTGGTTCAAGACACATTACATAGTGTGCCCTTGACCTTTATTCTCTATTCTCCTCATCTATGAAGATATGAACCAAAGATAAAGCAGAAAAAAAAGAGAAAAAAAAAACTCAATAATGATGATAAATAAAATAATAAGGGGTCGTTTACTTTGTGTGATTGGATTAGAGAAATTAATCAAAGATACTTTATACGTCAGCAATTTGTCCCACGTTTATTTTGATGGGGTTGTCTGTGGGCCCGCAAATAAGTAAAGGAAAAATTGGGATAAAAAAAATCCCGGCTGGGGGCAAGACTAATTTAATCATCCAATATTTGATAAGCAGTGGGGCCCTCATTCCACATGTGGGCCAAGTGGGATGAATCCCATTCCAGAAAAGTAAACACTGTAAACAGTTTTCATTATCCAGTCCCATCCCGCAAAATAAACGGTGCCTAAATGTCAAAGACAGCTTTCTAAAGTACTAAAATTTCATCATTTTCAGCTTCAATAATCATACGAAACAAATATCAATGCAAATAGCAAAAAACAGAACAAACACAAATGAACTCACTCACCTGATGAGTTAGCCACACTAACAGGACATCCGATGTGGGAACCAACAAAGACGAACACTCATCGGCAAACCTATGAACCATGTGAATAAAACCTTTGTACCTTTGCCTTGCCGCCACTAAATACACCATCTCCCAGTAAAAAGGTTCCGAAAATATTTGGTACAGATTCCTCAGCTTCCACACCATATCAAATAGATCCTCACTAACAACAGAGGCTGACCCATGTTCCGGCTCGGGTTCAGGTTCGGGTTCGTATTCAAACGGGTCGGTTTGGAATTTGGATTCCCATATTTCTCTACATCTGTCCAGTGCATACTCTTCGTTTTCCTCATCAAATATAGCAGGTTTGCCGATAATTTTCGAGAATCTTGATTCACAATAATTTCTGTAATTGGCCTAAAAAAAAGATCGGATTTTTTTTCATTTTATCAATCAAACTCAATACAAAAAACAGATAGCAATTTCCTTGTCTGAACATAAAAAATGCATATTTACCGGATTAAGGGTATGGCAAAACCAGACCCACTCAATATCAAGAGGGGGGAGAATCATCGGAGGCTTTATCCCCGCCGTTAGATCAGCAATCAGCGGCATCCACAGCTGATGGTATCTGCAATCAGACAAGCAATAAAACAAAAAACAAAAACCAAAAAAAAAA